TGGGGCCGGGGCCGGGCCACGCTCTTGGCGCTTCGGCCCAGCTGACTGCAGAAGCGAGTCACAGCAGCTGATGTCCACTGAAACGTTTTTTAGGCCAGCGCGTAGGCCTCACGTCCATGTAATTGATGCCTAACTGTAAAGAAAAGGTTCTAGTGCGATTGCGGCCTCAACCAGCAGTTTATACACGAGGACCTTTTTCCTTCAGAATCGGTTTTGCCTCCCTGTTCGACGCAAGCGCTGTGCTTGATCCCAGGTTGGGTTGTGTGGGTGCGGCAGAAAGTGCCAGCGGCAGCGTCTGTATTTCGGTGTCGTTATCACAAAAACTCCGGTCAACGTGAAACCGCCGACAGCGGCTGCGTTCCCTCCCCACGCTTTTGGCAGCAGCGGGATGGTCCATCTCCTCCATTCCCAAATCAAGAAAAATGAAGAGCAGCTGGCCAGTGCGTGGGCCTCCGTGGGAGGGCAGGAGGCCAGGACACGTGGCCTCCGGAGACGCTGCCTTCCAGGAGACCGACTCCACCTGAAGCTCTTCTCCAAGCAGCAGGAGATGTGTGCACAGCTCTGTGATCCCTCAGCCAGCTCAGGGGGTCTGGGCCCCGCTTCTGGATAAACTAAATGTATTAAATAAAGAGCGTGTACTCACGCTGAAGGTGTGGGAGGGGAACATGCCTTGTGAGAGGTTTCCCACCTGGGAGAGCCCTTGAAATACCATCCCCTTCCCAAGGAAATGTTTCTGTCCTGCTTTTTGAACAAGAAGAATTCACCACGCCATGGGCAAGCAAACTATGGCGTAGCTGCCAGGGACAGCAAGCAGGCAAATCTGAGCACCAAACAGCTGTGCTGTAGGAAAAGGGAGCTGAAGCATTTTGTGAGAGGTACCTACTTGGGGGAGCACCGCCAGATGACAAAACTACCAGCTAGAGCTGGAATTCCCTCTGCCACCTATTCCTGCCTCCAGATACCACATACAGGATTTTCAGACAGTGAAACTGACCTTTAATTCTTCAAAGAAAGTCTACAATTCTATCAGCAATGCACAGAGATAAAGTGATATCTGTGTCATGGTTGCAATACTCGGTGCTGAACTGGAGGGAGGACAACGGGATGTCCTTTATGACTGTAGGCACCACAGTTTTACTCGGAAAAAAAGAGGTGGCCCTCCTTGAGCAGGGGAGTTGGACCAGATGACCTCCAGAGGTCCCTTCCGACCTCAACCAGTGTGTGATGGTGTGATTCTGTGTCCCCATTTCCGTCATTTGGTGACATCTTGGAAGCTCTCTCTGCCCCACGTGCTCCTCGGGGACCGAGGATTGGGGGTGTGTTCTAGGGAGCAGCCCCGCTTTCACTGCAGGACCAAACTTGGCCGGGTCAGTGGGCGTGGGGGTGATGTGGGAGTGTCCCTCTGTGACCCCAGCCCATGTCACAAAGCCCCTCCTCAACATAACCCCACGCCCCAGGCCCTCCCTTCACTTTCCTGCGAGGCCTCGGCGAGCTCTCAGGTCCAGGGGACGCGAGAAGTCTCTCCTGTACCTCAGAGACACAGAGGACGCAGGGAGGCGGTGGGACAGCTGGCTGGTGAAGCACAGGCGAGGACGTTGGAGAGGGGGTGTTTCCCAGTAGGAGACATCAAAATCCTTCCCCCGGCACCCTCACGTGCTGATCCAAAGCAAGACCATGACAAACCTGGAAGCGCTGATCACCAACATTGAGCTCTGCAGCAAGGCTGACGGCTACAGCACTGTCACCTTTCCCACCCTCAAGAAGCTTTCCGTCAATGGTAAGGCCTTTGGGAGCTCTCTGACGAGCATCACTGCAGACGAGATGAACGGCATGAATCGTTGTGGGAAGTGGGGTTCGTTCCTGCAGGGGAGGCCCCTACGGACACCCTGAGCCCCGCAGAGTCCAGTGCACGCAGCACCCCTCCCCTTGCTACAATGGAAGTCCCATGGATGGGTTTCCCTCAGCAGTGGGTCACACTCAGGGATCTGGCTCTGAAGGGAGAGATGTCCTGCTGGAAGAAGGCTGAGGCCAGTCAAAGATTCGCCCCGTGTCACAGATGGATTTATCCTGTGAAGCGTGTTGGAGCACACTTGCATCTGCCATCTCCTTGTCTACAGATGTGCTGACGGGCCGTGAGCTGGCTGACGTAGAGCTTGACGTGTCTTTCCCTTGCTTTCCAGATGTCACTACTATTTGGAGCAGTGTGTCTAAGCATGTTCGGCAACAGCTCCTGCAGATAAAGGTGGGATCCTACCCTACCTCTCCCCTCGCCCAGATGGCTTCAGGGGTCCCAGCAGCCCCGTGCCAGCAAGTGCTGTTGTTCTTCCCAGAACAGCATTGCGATTTACAGATTTGCCACAAATGTGCCAAAGACCAGCTTCTCCATAAATTGAGAGTCATAAAATATTTTTTTTTAAAAAGTAACATAAAAAATATATATATGCAATATATAAATACAGAAATAAAAATCTGGTTGAGGTGTGCAAAAGTGTTCTGCGCCAGGAGTTGGCAGGGCACAAGGCACCCCCCTTGCAAGCTCTCACAAGTCCTCACTCTCTTTTTCAACCTACTAATGCTTGCCCTTCTTTTATTTTTCCAGCCTCAGGCTGTCAGTGTACAAGGACTGGGGATATTTCATATTCAAAAATGGCTCTCTTTTGAAAATGACGAGGTGCTCACGTTTCAGAGACCTCTGTTTTCACTGTCCAGGACTGTTGCACAGATCCGTGAGCTGCGAAGTGCTTTTGTACCTGTTCCTGGTAAGAAAAGCAGTTAAAGTCTTTGTTTTCCCCTACGTCCATACATTTGGGGTTTATGCTGGTTGCTGTTCGGAAGCAATGACGGACACGTCAGAGGCCTTCAGAAGGCCCTGAGAACAACCTTTGTGGGATGATGCAAACAGCCCACCAAGTAGCAATGCCTAGAAAGGGGCCATTTCTTTTGGACTAGTTTTTATTAAGGCTGTACAAAGTTAGACCATCTCTCCATGATCTGCTTTAGCAACTGGCTTCGTGCCAGCCACATTTATTGATTTGCAGGGTGCCTGCTGGCTGATGGTCGTTTATTGGAACCGTTTACCATAAAGCTGTTGAGATGATGCCGATATTTTGTTCTTGCACCGCACCGGACCTTGTTGAGGCAAATGCCCGCAGGCCCTTAGAGCTACTTTTATGCAGAAAAGTGGGTCAAAGTCAGCTGTAGAGAGCTTTGAATGAGAGGTGGAAATGATAGCTAGCACAGAAACCTCCCAATGGCCAGATCTGCTTCCATTTCTGACCGTTGCTGCTGTTGCTATATCTGCAGTGTGCCATCGACGGGGCCTTGTGCAGCACTAAGAGCTTGGTGGTTTATTTGTGTTTATATCCAAGTCTCCCCAGACCAGGACTGTGCTACATGTGGGCTCAGCTCTATGGCCCGGCACCCTCCACTCTTCCCATGGGAACCAGCCCCATTCTTCCCACCTTTGCCCTGCCTTCCTGCACAGTGTGGACACAGATGGCCGAGGTCCTTGGTTCCTGTTTCTGTTTAGGGAATCATGGCTGTGGCTTCACACATCTGTTAATGGAGTGATTTGACCTTAACTTGAGGAGGGGCCTACATCAGTCCCTTTAAGGAGCTGTCCCAGGTGGTTAGACCAGACAGTGCTATAGCAATGTATTTTACCTGAGAGTTACTGGCACTTTGTTTGCTCTACTGCTGTCTGAGTTACAGTCTTCCTACTCTTTTCCAGATGAGATAAAGAAAGTGTCAGTGAGCTACAAGAACATCCACTCGGACGTCCCCTATTCTGAGGAAGTCGTGCAGAACTGTATGCAGGAGACCCTGAACTTCTTCTACTTCATCCTAACAAACAGACAAGACGTGGACTTAATTTTAAAGGATGTTGGCACTCTTGCTATCCGGGGAACAGAAGTGACAATGGCATTTTGTGAAGACTTTTTACTAAGCCTCAACAAGTCCACATACGTGGTAGAGAAGTTGCTCACTGTAAGTTTATTGTTTTTCCAGTGCTACTTAGACTGGGTTTGACATCCCATCAAAGGACTGGGGAACTGAGCCCTGCTGGCCGGCTGTAACCTGCTGGGTCACTTGGGCTAGGCATGGTCTGTTGCAGTGAAAGCTTTCTGTACGTTCTTTCTTTTATTTGCTGTGGTTCAAGGGTGCTGGGAAGGTACACAGTACTACTTTTGCTGGGCAAGGGAAAGCCCTAGAAGGGCCTTGCCATAAATAGGAAAAAGGCCAAAGCAATAGCAGGGGTGATGATGTTCACTCCACGCTCTGGACATGAGGCTGAGGTGCAGAGACACCAAGGCCTCCCTGAGACGAGCCCCTCGTGGCTACTAGCACACTATTGGTGTAGTTCTCCTGGCCTGACCGAAGAGAAGGAGCCAGTGGCTGGGTTCCTCCACGCTGCAGAGGCATGCAGACTCTTTGGAAGTCTTTGGAAGGATGCGGGGGATAAAACCAGCTCGGAACCATTTGCTCTTGGTTCAGCAATAGTTAAAGCAAGCCATCTCACTGCAACCAGCAGCCAGGAACCAGGCTCATAATGGGCCTTCCCTTCTGTTTGCCTCCATTGACTTCTTCCGTGGTAAACAAGGAGTCTCCTGCCCGACACCATCAACTCTTGTCCTTGCAAAAAGGCTGGCGACGTTCCTCGCCCTAGCAGATGGTATGCTGTGCAGCTTGTTTTAGCAAGGGGGCTGAAGCACTTGGCCAGAAGTTTGCTGAGAGGCCGCTAATTCTTGGAGCTATGGAAAGGCTGTTGTGAGCATTTCCCTGGAGTCACGTCAGGTGTTTCTGTTCTTGTTGCAGAAGAAATGGGTCATATCGGACAAAGAAGTTGCTCTCTTTCCGAGCCGTTTTGGCCGTGTCTACCAGCTTCCACAGTGAGTATATTTGTTTCTGCAGCCCTTGTCTGACCAAGTGCAAATGTGCTCAGCTCATGTTTGGTAGCACTCTGTCAAATTACTGGTTTGCAGTTAATTTCATCCTTGTTTTCACTTAATCTGGAGTTATGCACCCTCTGTTACTGATTGTGGTTTGCATTTTACCATTACTCCCCTCGGAGGGAACTAGTTTGCTAGGCAGAGGAATTTAGGCAACCCTCCTAACATTTCATCTGCTCATTCTCTTTCCATTGGTAGGGACTGCCCAAACATTTAACAGAAATAAGATCCTAATATTTCTGTTGTTTTTAATATAACATGGAAAGGTTCTCTTAGAGGGTGGATCAAAGACCAGATGCATGCAAGTCCGCTGTGATGTTTCCGAGCCTTCTGTGAAACTCATGTGAATGGAAGTATCTCCAAAACACCTTCTTGGGTCAAGATGGCATAGGAGGACTGAGGCAAAAAACCAAAACCTCTGTCTAGCGAGGGGCTACTGAGCCATTCTTGACCGTTCCTGAGGCCAGCACTGCTCTGTGGTTCCCTTAATGACCTAGGATGTGGGGTTGACTCTATAGAGATACCTTGACATTCATCTGGCAAAGAAGCTCTTTTCTCAGAATGGTGCCTTCTTCCTATTTCCAGGTTTGAGATTAGGGCAGTGCCTCGAAGAGCTTCTCTCACAGACAAAGAGATACTTGGAGAATTCGAGAGTGCTTTGAGCAGCATGGGAATAAGAGGTAACGTTAGTGAGTGATTCCTGGCAGAGGTTTGTGCCTTTGCCTGTCTTCATTACTGGTGGGTGTTTAGGGACCAGGCTACAACAGATGCCTGGGATGGTAGAGACACCCTGTGTGCCTCTATTTTCCCCTCCTGGTAATCTCAAGTGACTTCTTTTGGAGCGAGATCCCAGGAGGGCTCAGCACACCAACTGCAGGTGACGGTGCTGAAGTATTTTTTGCCCCTGCACTCCATGCCCTGGAGTATACCTCTTCCATTTTAGGAGTTTGTGCAGGAGGGAGTAAATGTTTGGGGAAGTCTGTCAGCACTGTGAATCACAAACTCTGCCTTGAGTTGTGGGAGACTGAAGGGTTGGCCTATCTCTCGGAATCACCACGGCGTGATTCGATGAGAAAAATCATGTAGACAACAACTGTGCAAAGGTTGCTAAGCTGTGCCGAGACCTCACTTCTCTTTTAACGCTGGGAAGTCTAGCTCCTCGACCTTAATTCCTCAAGAACATCAGAGCTATAATGTGTTTGAGTTGAATGCGCCATTATAGCAAATTTTTGTATACTGAACACATACGCAACGCCAAGAAATTGTTCCCCCAAAAGAGACTGTTAAGCACCAAGATCTGTCTCCCCCTGAAAGCTGCTGTGCAGAGGAAGGACTAGCCACAGCAGGAGAAAACTCACACCGAAGAGAATAATGTGGCTATCAAGGGTTGAACAGGATCGAGGACTGGTGCCAGGAAGGGCTTAAGATCTCCCTCTGAGAAAACAGGTCTCAGAAGGAATCCCACTGAGGCCTTAAACAGCTTCTAACATTGCAGAGCAGATCTGTGCCTCCTCCTGCCTGTTTTGAGAGGTTTTCTCCTTTCATGCTTGCAGCGGCTGTTCGTCGCACATTATGCCTTCTGCGAAGGGGCCTTCCTCGAGACCGCTTAGCCAGAGCTGAGATGGAGGAAGAAGCAGAGGAGAAAACGGAGGGAAAAGGGCCTCATGGCAGGTGAGACTCTGAAAGGACTCGATTAGAGTGGCCTTGTGCTCTAGTGCTTGTGCAGCATGTTTTATAGGCTCATACAATAATGGAGGTTGGAAGGGCTCTCGGGAGGTCCTAGTCCAACCAGCTGCTCCAAGCAGAGTCAGCTGAGTTCAGACCAGATTGCTCAGGACTTTATCCAGTCTTGCCTTCAAAGCCTTCAGGAACGGAGACTGCCCAAGCTCTCCGAGAAACCTGTTCCCCCGTTTCCTTTGGACCCAGTGTTTGTATTTAACTCAGAAGGGCTGTTAACACACGTCACCACACAGTGCATTTCCTTGCTGGATGGGAAGTCCCACAGTATTTGGGACTGCTTTGCAGTGGTCAGTGTAATGGCCAGGAGGGGGATACCAGTATCTCCAGGTGCCTGTCATTGCACAGAATGCAAATATTCTCATCATTCCATCAAGAGGGCCACATCAGGCTGTGTGTCCTGGAGCCCTCCTTATGGAAAAAGCTCATCTCCTTGATTTCCTTGGTGGCACATCTGAGTGTTACAGCTCAGGGTTATCCCTGTCTCTGTGGAGGGGAAGGCAACTGGGTGAAGAGAGCTTGCTCTGCTGCCGAAGCGGGTGAGCAGCGTGAGCACAGGATGGAGAAGAAACTCTTCCTGCACTCATACCAACTCACCCCCCGGTGTGTCTTTTCAGACTGTTGCCACAAAGTGCAGGCACAGAAGGAAGGCAGCACAAAGAAACTCCTTTTGAGAGCCCTGAATTGCCATTGCCTACTTCTGAAGAACACGGGCAGACAGGACAGGTACGTAACATGGATTGAGGCAATTGTTGTGTCACTTGATTGTAGAAAATCAAGTGGGGATATCTTAGGAGAAATAGGTACATAAAAAAATATGCAGATACTGATTCTGAGTAGATCTCTTACTGTGGCTCATTTTCCCATTCAATTACCTATTTTGGGTATTGTTCATCTCAGAAAAGGAACTGTAGCCCTCTTCAAAAAGTAGCTCTTTGATGACTTAGTTCATTGGTCATAACAGAAGGGCTTTCTGGTTGCATCTTAAGAACTGTCTATCGACAGAAACTGGAAGAAAGGGAAGATGAGAGAGAAGAGCATTATTTTAAAAAAAAAAAGACAAATGAGACTAACCACTGCTATTGCATTTCTGGGTTCCTGTAGAAAGGACAGTCTGTATTTGGGCTGAACAGTAGAAGAAAACTGGAGGCATCCATGGCCAAAAGGAAGGAGGAAGAAGAGAACAGAAAAGCAGGAAGGGCCACCTTGCCAAAATTGCCTCAACAGCAAGCGGGGAGAGAAAGTGACAAGGTGTGGAGGGCCCAGGTATGGGAGTATCAACAGAGCAGCCTTTTTCTGGTTTGGGTGGCACTGAGTTTGGAAGGTCCCCAAGTCCCAGCAGCATCATTCCCTCCAAAGAGCAGGGTGGGTGGCTGTGGTTTTGATTCTTGCCTGTTCACTGCTGTGAGGGAGGAATTGCTGGTAGAGGCCAAGGGGCAAAACGAGCAGCCGGCCAGGGTGAGGTCATCAGTGGGCCTGCTCCGTCCCTGGAAAGGAGGCCACCTCTGCCCAGGCGCCGGCTCTGGAGCTCGAGCAGGAGCTCTCCCAGTCGCATGGCTTGAGCCAGCTCCAGCTGGTGGCATGGAGGGGGAGAGCTGTCTCTCCAAGTAGCATGGAGAGCACTCCGGCCGTTCTTCATAAACAAAATGGCCGACGTTATTTCAGCTGCTCCTTGGTGGCAGGGAGCCAGCATTTTGTGCAATGGCAGGACCTACCTGTTTTCGTGCTGCTCTATGGTTTGCTGATGGCCCTGTCTCCACCCCTCCCGGTTCAGCCAGAAGCACATCAGAAGCAGAGGCCCCTGCCCACTACATGCACGGAGGCCGCCACTTTTGACCACATCCTACTATGCTTGTTTCCATACTGTTCTGTGATGGGCTTGCTGCTGTTTTTGGAAACCACCATACCCACCTGACCCCAACTCTTGATTCTGCAAGAAGCACATCTGTTGTTGCGTAAAGTACCAGCGTGAGCAGTGAGGATGTGATCAAGGGTTTGACTAATGTCAAGCCAGAAGTGGCCTTGGAGCATGGTTTCCAATGACACCGTTGGAGAAATATGTATCAACTTTTGCCTTTAAACTGAAAGCAAGTAGGTGTGGGCTATCCAAATCCAGACGTCACATTATTTTTGCTCCACCTGTGGCAAGACCAGCTTCTCCCTTTTTGAAACCAACTTGGGCCACAGATTTCTGTCATTTGTCTGTTTTGCAGCTGCCCCAGGAGGAAGAAGATAGCCTCAGCTCCCCAGAGACCACCTCTGATACAGAAGAGGGTCTACAAACAATGGAGGCTTGGATTGAGGCGAGGAGGCAGTTTCGAACTGAGCTGGAAAGCTTAGGGGACATTGAAAAATGGCTGTCTCAAAAACCTTCCCTCAGCTATCAAGAAAAAAGATGCTGGCAAAGAATAAAGGCACGCAGAGCAGACAGGAAGGCTGCTGTCAAATCAGCTGTGACCGACAGCCTGGACGTAAGTAGGGAAGTGCATGGGAAATAGCGTTTGCTGTGAAATCAGTAGAGCGACACTGCTTTACCCCAGCTGATGCCACACTGACGGGCATGGTGATCCTGAATAATGGTGATCTCAGGGTATTTTCTAATCCTTTTCAGCACTCACCACCAAAGAGCAGGCAGCCCTTGAAGAAGGGTATTGTTCCCCTTGTTTGTGCACCATACCCCCAGGCTCTTGTCACGCTACATAACCTCCTGCACAAACAAAAGCTGAGGATGGTGGACGTATTCAAGAAGGCTGGTATGGACAGGAGGAAGATCACGAGAGCAGACTTCATCAGAGTCATCAAGGAGGTACGTAGGGAGCAGAAAAATAATGAACAGCTGCAACTCTGCCCTGTTTTCCTGCATGCCAACCCAGAGCAAATGGAAGAACTTCAGCAAGGGGCTTTTTCGCTTGCCTTACTCTCAGAGAATGGCTCCCACAACCTGTGAAAAGCTGAAGGGCAAAGGGAAGGGAAAGCTGCAGAGATGCACCTAGAACAAGTCCTAGGAGGGATTGAAGAAACCCATTGCCTCCCAGACTTGGAAGACAGTCACTGCTCAGTAATGTGGCTGTCAGGATCCTGCTGTAGACCCTGAACTGGCATTGAGTTTCCCAGTGTTGATACTTGGTCCTTCCCCAGCCAGGCTCCTACATCTCCCCACTGCCTTTCAGTACGTTTGCACAGCACGGCTCACACTGGGCCTCCACAGGCCACAGCATTACAGAGCTGTGAAGAGCACATTCAGGTTTATTAAAGTTTTGTTCACTGATATTCTAGTCCAAGCCAAAATATCTTCCTGAAACCCAGAGGGCTGGGAAGTTTGGCACAGTGAAAGCCAAGAGCTCTGCAAGGGGCAGCAGAAGTCAAGTTGTGAATGCTGGATAAACCCAAGGAAACCTCAGCAGGTTGCCTTTGTGCCATGCTTCCCTGCAAAAGCATCTGGAACAACAGCAAAGCTCGCCCCTCCCACTCTGGGGCAAAGCTTGATCTTTTGGTGATCCCACTGTCATTTTCTGTTTTGGTTGCCAGACCAAAGTTCCCATCAGCAACAAGGACCTGGAAGACGTGGTCATCTTCTTGACTTCCTCAAAACCGGGGAATTTTATAAGCCCTGAAGATCTGATTGGCTGTCAAAAGCAGTGGCTGGAAATGAGGAAAGAACAATCCAGAGAGACCAAAACAGGTGAGAGGAGAGCACTGGGTTGGGAAAGCATCTCTATACAGACAGGAAATGCCAATGTGGGTCCAGAAGATGGCTTCTTGAGACCATTGTCCTAGAGCAAAGTGGCCAGAAGGAAACTTCTAGGGAAAAGCTGAAGGATCTGTGGGATGTGCAATACCGTAGTCAGCCCAATTGCAGGAGACAGGTTATCCAATCTTTTAGGTTGGGAGCAAAGTCCGAACCCTGTGGTTTAACATCCTGTACTGGATTTTGTTTGTTAGCATTCATCATCCAGCCCATCCAAAGCAGACCCTTTCTCCAGCTGTTGGTGGCAGCTGGAAAAGACCAATTCAGAAGACCTTATTCTTTAGTAAGCTCTGTTGGGAGTTCCAATCAGCACAACATGCCAAACCCCTTTGTCTTAAACACAGATCAGATGTTCCTCTCTGCTATGCTCTAACGTGGCTTCTCTCGGCTTTTTCTTTGTTTTTTAATCTATCCTAGGTGTAGAAGCTCAGTTCCAGAAAGACACCGGGAAAACTGCCACTTGCCCACCTTCTGCTGGGGACACAGCCAGACAGATGAAACCTCATGCTCCTGCCAAGCCTGAAAGAAAGTTAATACACTTGGAAGTTCCACCAGTCAACACCGAGCCAGAACGACGACATCTGAGCTATGATGAAATGGAAGAGATTGGAAAACTCGTAAGAGAGAGGAGACGGTGGGAGAAGGTACTGTGTATGTGGCATGATAACAAGCGCACCTGCATGCCTTGGCGAATGTGGGGTGGTTTAGAGGACAGTGCAGCAGTAAAGGAAAGGGCAAGGGGTTATTGTGCGTATTAGGTTCTCAGTAGTCCCTTGACCACATGGTGCCTTGCAGCTGAGGTGCTACAAGCCATCTCAAACAATTTGTTTGGCTTCTGGACACTCTGGTGAGATAAACACTTTTTCTGGGTAACTGGCAAGAAGAAGAAGGAGGAGAAGTTGAACCAGTTTCTATGTCTGGGGACGGAGTCATCTTCTGATCATTTCGTCAACCTATCCACCAGACTGTGATTTGTCCCTTAAGGTGCTGATAAGCACTTTGTCCTGTTCAGTTGTGGGGCTCAGTGTAAGACGAGCCAGTGGGTCACTGTGGGTCCAGTGACTCACTCATTCACTCACTCCCAAATGTTTTCTTTGGAGCATCTTGGGTTGGATGAACTTTGGCAGAATCCAGGGCTACCTCCTCTTGCCAGCATGCTGCCCCACAGTCACCGGCTATGGGGAGAGCCTCTGGCTCCCTGGCACAATCAGAAACAAGAAGGTGACTGCAAGACTTTTTTCACCTGAGGCACCTGTGCCCGGTGTGCTGCTCTTCTGCTAAGCCCTCCAGGGAGTATCTGTCTGAGGACCCAGCTCTGGATGGGAATTGCACTCCCAGAGTGCCTGTCCCTGTGACCCCATTGCAGGGTGCTGACTCCTGTTTGCACGTGCTTGAGGTGAATCCCTGCCTGTAGCTTCTCTGAAGGGAATGCAGCAGCTCCAGGGCCTCAACCAAATGCTAATCGGGACCTGACCTTTACTTGCAGAATAAAGACAGCCCAATAGAACGGAAAGAAAAGTGCCGGATGGTGAGATCTGGGGATGGCCCCGTTGATGAGCACTGCCTGCCGTCAACTGTAGAGGCTGACTTGGGAGAACTGGTTGACCGATATCGGCGGAATGCCGTCGAGAGCTATCTGAAGAGCTCCCAGCTGTGCAAAGAGCGCAATGTTCACATCACCGAGCCAACACTGCAGAGAGGTAAAGCAAAGACCAAGGGCCTGATGTGAATGCACTAAATCTGAAAGTTCATGTCTCTTCCCAAGCCCAGAAGCATTACAAATGTCAGGGGGGGGTGCTGATGGAGCATGTTTGCAGCCCTCAGAGAGCCATGGCAGATGTTGCTGGTTAGGATCAGCAATATCATCAGTAGGGCCAGAGCAGAGCTGAGATATCAAAGGGTGCTGCAGATCAGCCAGGGCCCTGTCCCGTTGCCCCAGGGATGGTAGTCTGGTTCAACCAAGAGTGCAGCTCACAAGGCAAGTTCGTGGTGATGGGGCAGGTCCAAAGTCAAGCCAGGAAGTCAGACCATAGTCAGGATCAGCAGGCCCATAGCCAGGAACAGACATGGCTGTGGCTCAGCTGAAGACTGCTACGCTTACAACGTCTGAGCTGAAATGGGGCTCCTGATCCCGGGGCAAGGCATGACTCTTTTCTCTGTGCACTTTGCCAACAGCCCTGCTGCATCCAGGAGACAAGATCATCAAGGAGGGAGAAGACATAAGGAAGATCAGGCAGCCCGGAGGATACTACAGCACAGGACGTGCTGATGCTGCATCACCAGGGAGCGAGGCCGAGGAGGCGGAAAATAGGTTTGTTCAACGAGGGCTTAAGATCAGCCCCCTCCTGCTGCCCCGCTGTGTATCACCCCTCTGTGCTCAGTCCCCATGGTGTCAGAGGCAGTACCGAGGTACTGGAGTGAACCATTAGGATGCTGAAAGGGAGCAGCGAGTGACAGGAAAGAGGCAGATCCTCTTCTCAGCTACACGGCAACTCTTGTGTTTTAACCAAGTCATTGGGTTGCAGTGGTGGCAGTGAACAGTTTGTAGCGCCTGGCAGGAGCCTTGCAGATTAGTTGGGACTAGCTCTGTGCTCTGAACTACAGAGGTGACAAAACTTCTCCTCAGACCAACCCAATGCTTGTCTGAAATCCCCTCAGAGAATGTTTATTCTTGTGGAGGAAAGACAATCCTGAAGAGCCAAGCTTTGGATGGCTGGAGAAGCTTTTGGAGAGAAAAAAACATTGCAAAGCAGAGCACAATCTTGTTTATCTCAGTTAAAGTGTTTAGATATTACAGTGATGGGCAACATACCAGCTCTTAAGATAGCTTCACAAGCTGGCATTTCCAGTGTCAGTCATGTCTAATAAGAATCGACACGATCTGCACAGGTCTGGCAGAGCTTCCCAGGGCCTGGAAGCCCAGATAGCTGGTTCCTGTCAGGCTCACTTTTGCCCTTACTAAGAGAAGCAGTGAAACTGCCCAGGATTTTATTTCTGTAAAGCATGCTATTTTCTCTTATATTTTTTTCTTCCTTCCCTTTTTTCCCCCCTTTTTTCACAGGCGTCTTCAGAGGAATAAGATGCAAAAGTCAAACGACAATAACTTCTGGCCAGGTCATCTGCTGGACAAGCTATGCCTTTACTTTCCTGAAAAGCAGCATGACAGGGCACACGCCTTGTTCAGCTATGTTCATCCAACCAAGCCCGCCTACCGTGGCTTCTAAAGCCCTGACGGCAGCGAGCCACGACACTTGGCCTCCGGAGACACTGCCTTCAGGAAGACCCATTCCACCTGAAGCTCTTCTTCAAGCAGCAGGAGACGTGTGCACAGCTCTGTGATCCCTCAGCCAGCTCAGGGGGTCTGGGCCCCGTTTCTGGATAAAGTAAATGTATTAAATAAAGAGTGTATACTCAAGCTGAAGGTGTGGGAGCTGGACTGACCACAAAATTCACTTCTCAACTGGGAGCTTTTCTGCTCGCCTGGTAACAAAAGGCCTCGGCATTTTGTGATGGGTAACGAACACCACGCTTCCCAAGCCCAAGAGCTATAGCTGAAGTGTGTGTGTGGGCAGCGTGTGATGGAGGGACACCCTGCTCGACATCCAGCCACCAGGATCCGACCCTTTCCGGGTGGCACCTGGCACTGCCAGTTCTGGAGGTCTGACCCTGTCTGGTGACAGGGGGACGCTGGGGGCTCCGTGGAGCAGCCATCTGCAAAACGTGTGGCAGGGCTCAGATGGTCGCCAAGTTGCTGAGCCTCTAGTTCAGTCCCAGGAGAGAAGATCAGACTGGTGGATCCTGGAGAAGGATTGCAGGAACCCCAGTTACAAGTGCAAAGAAGAAAGCAATCATTAATAGTTAATGCAGCTAAACGACCCCTCGGCAGGAGCCTGTCACAGTGCCGCAATGGTCCCCTTCCCTTGTGACACCTGAAGAGTCATTACTGGGCCAGCATTCATCAGTCTCATCATGGGGTAGGGCCAGCTCCTGCTGCCGCTCTTGACATGGCAAGCCCCCAGCTGACTTCTTCCCCACTTTTTCCTTCAGGAATAGGATAATAATTTGGAGGGGAACATGCCTTGTGAGAGGTTTCCCTCCTGGGGGAGCCCTTGAAATGCCATCCTTTTCCCAGGGAAATGTTTCTGTCCTGCTTTTTCAACAAGAAGGATTCACCATGCCAAGGGCAAGCAAACTATGGCGTAGCTGCCAGGGACAGCAAGCGGGCAAATTTGAACATCAGACACCACATACAGGATTTTCAGGCTGATCTGAAACTGATCTTTAATTCTTCAAAGAAAGTACACTTCCATCCATGCTGTAGAGAGATAAAGTGCTATCTGTTTCATGGTTGCAATACTCAGTACTGAACCGGAGGGAGGAAAATGGGATGTCCTTTAGGGCAGGAGATGAGAGTTTTACTCGGAAA